TTGCCCATAAAATGAAGTCCATGCTGAACGATGTTGGTGCATGTAGTTAATCCCAGCACTCGGGAAGCAGAGACAGGTGGATCTCTGTGAGTTCAAGGCCAGCCTGACCTACAGAGTAAGTTCCAGGACAGGCTTCAACAGCTACACAGAGAAACCCTGTCTCGAAAAACTGAAAGAAGAAAAAAAAGAAAAGAAAAAAGAAAAAAAATCCACAAGACCACTTGTGGTAAACGTAGCTCTGTATTGACGTTGTTCTCAAAATCACAGATTTTGCACTTAAACCTGATTTAAGTGTTGAGGCTGGGCCTGAGAGGGCCCTTAGCCTCTGTTCTCTTGAAGGTAAATTGTTGATAAGCAGACCTACTAAAAGGGGTTGTCCTGGGGTTTCTGCACCCATCCCAGAGCTCAGAACATAAGAAGTCTGGAGGTCAGTGCATGGAGAGAAGGGCATTCTGGGAAGAAGATGTCTGCCAGGATTTAGGAAGATGATGAGACCAACTTTGGACATGTTGAGTGCAAATGGCCTGTGATGTCCAAGGGAGGCATCCAGGGCAGCTGGATGCGTGGGCCTGGAGTCAAGAGGGAGGCCTTGGCTGGAGAGCCGGCGTGTGGGTGTTGCCAGCATGTGTGTAGGAAGATGAGCTCATGGGTGGAGGAGGTGAGTGTGAGGCCTCCACAACCAGACGCTCAGGCACACGGAAGACAAGTTTATGAGGAAGGCTGCGGAAGGGCAGAGAGCTGGGAGGAACACCACCATCAAAGAGAAACAGAGCTGGGCAGTCAAGAAAGGCCAGAGGAACAGAGGCTGGGAGGAGACTGAGACAGTTGACGGCAGATGTGGTCCTGAGATGCATGAGCAGGTGACTCGGTGAGGGTAGGAGTGGGAGCTGCCCCTGGGCTAACCTGGGAGAATAGATAGGAGCAGTGGCAACTGAAATAGCCTTAGATAAAAGCGGCCAAGAGAGGAGGGCCCATGCAAACAATGCCTGCGCCGACGGTGGTGGTATACATGTTTACTCCCAGCACTGGGGAGGCAGAGGCAGGCAAATCTCTGTAAGTTCAAGGCCAGCCTGGTCTACAAAGCAAGTTCTAGGAAAAGGATGCAGGATTGAGGTTGCCAGTGAGAGAGGCTGTGAGGGAGTGACCAGTGGTCCGTGGGTCCGTCTGTAGGCACCTAGTAGGAAATCAATAAAAATGTGCTATATCGGGGTTGGGGAGATGACCCTGTGGGTAAAGTGTTCACTGTGCAAGCAAGAAGACCCAAGTTTAGTTTTCTAGAACCCATACAATGGTTAGGATTGGTGATGCTATCTGGAACTCGAGTGCTCAGAAGGGTAAAGACAGGTGAGTTCCAGGGGCTTTCTGACCAGCCAGTCTAGCTGAATTAACTGATGCATTCCAGGCTCAGTGGGAGACCCTGTCTCAAAAACTAAGGGGTAGAGCCACAGAGGATGATGTCCAGTGTTGACATCTGATGTCCACATGTGCACACAAGTGATTGAGAACGTTGTTCAGCCTCAAAGTGTGTGCCTGGTATGCACAAGGCCCAGCACTGAAACACCTCATATGGAAAGAAACTTGCTATCTTTGACAGCAGTATGAGGTGAGGTCTAGAACATGACAAAAGAACTAGTCATTGGCAGGGAATGGGCACTGTGCCTCTGCCACTGTGCCCCAGGAGAGAGAGGGTGTGCATGAGTGTCATACAGGGTAGGGCTCCCTGGAAGCCGGCTGCATCTGAGTTCAATCGGTTTTTTACAGATGCACCCTCCCAGAAAGTCAGCAGATGGTGCTAGTGAGTCACTGGTCACCAAAGCAGAGAGCTGCCAGCCTTCATTCTAGTTACAGACCCTTGGTCCTCCAGAGCCCGGGGCACGCTATGGTCGGCTAACCAGGCTTCTGATCAAAAGGGTGACGTTGGGGCTGGGAGTTGGGACAAAGGGTTAAGACTGCCGTCAGAGTGCTTGGAACCAGGTGGCTCCGGGAGCTCTACTCCTGGCTACCCTCCATTAACCTGCCCTTCTAGATCCTGCCTTATCTGCCGGGGTTCCTGCCCTCTGCTTACCCCGCCCACCCCCACTCCTCTCCCACGGAGGCCCCTACCAGACCAGATTCTTGATTCTGGCAGAAGTTGGTTCTCTACCCCAAGGCAGGCTCAACCTGGCACCAGGCCTCAGACAGGGCTGGGTTGGCCCCTCCCAGTTATGACTATCTGAAACACCTTCCACTTCTACAGCACCTGCACCTGATGAGGGGAAGGGTCAGTGGCTGAGGAGGCCACAGGGGGTTGGAGTGCAGATCCTAGGAGGGAGGGGCCGTGGTCTCTTGACTTAGGATGTTTGGGGTGGGGGAAGCAGGTGTCTTATAAATGGGACAGGTAGTGCAATCTCATCAAGACTCAGGAGAGTCCCACCCGAAGTGGTGCACTGTCCTAGCAGCAGCCTAGCCCTCCTGTGCTCCACAGTCAAAGGCAATTCCCCCTACCTCGTCTACTCTCAAAACATCTCTCTCCCACCCAACCCTGGGCTTCCTCGTGCACTTTACAGGGGCAGAGTAGAGCCCTGCTTCCCGACTCCTCATCTTGTCTCTCTCTCTACTCATCCCTGTCTTACCTTGCTTTAAGTACTGGGACTGTGAGCAAATGTGAGGGTCCCCTAGGACTCGGCTTTTTTTCTCCCCTTTCCACCACAGGAGAAGTCCTTACAGGGGCTAAGACTGGAGAAACTGTTGCTGGAGTCTAAGGAGGGTAGCCAGTTCTGGGAGCGCTGATGGGTGCAACTTTTACAGTTAAAGTAGGGGACACTGTTCTCTTCTGGGCCTGGACGACAGACATCAATGGTTTGGGGAAAGGATTGCTTCCCTGAATTTTAGAAGCAAGATGACCCAGATAGAAGGAGAGCTATATGAAACACACATGCCACACACACACCTACACATGTAAGATCATGACACAGGGCACAGAACCCTACGGACAGGTACGTAGAAACAAAAGAACACAAGGCCACATACCCAAGGTCAGGCGCGCGCACACACACACCTCACTCAGGCAAATCCTGCCACCCAGGCCAGGGTTCCCCCATGGTTTATATTTACAGAGGAACGGTAGATGGAAGCAGATGAATGGTTCTGAGTGGAGACAGGGTCTCCACCCAGAGTTCCTCCCCTCAAGTGGGTCTGGACTCCAGCTCCTTCTTAGAGATTTCTCTGATCCATCAGGAGCCCATGCCTGGATAGAAGAGCGGGTTTGGAAGGGATGTTTTCGTGAAACTTTGGGACAGGGTCTGGATACAGGAGAGAGAGTGAAGCACAGGACAAGCTGTGTGTGATAAGGAGTTCACAGCCTCTCAGGACCCAGAAGGACAGAGATGAGGAACTGAACAAGATCTGGAGGTCCACAGAAGCAGGGATCTCCACTACCATGGTCTGTGCCTACACTCTGCATAGGGCCTGGCACCCAGCTATTGGCACTAACCCCCAACGCCTGCCAGAGCCCTGGCACACATGTTAGGCACAGAGTGCCAGACATGGGGGTGGCAGGGGGTGCCAGGCCACACACAGACAAGGACCTTCATACACACAGGGAGGGAAGTGCACCCACACAGTACTTATATCATCCCCTGAGGATTCAGGGTAGCAGGTCAGGGACCACCCTGTCCTGACACTTCTTCCAGGTGTTCCCATTATCTTGGCTCTTGGGGAGAGGGTGGGTGAAGTGCACGTAAAAGGAGACTTTGATGTTTCTTTGACTTCTCACACACATACACTTGTGTGGTGTCCCCAGTTCTAGACTCTGGAAGAAAGCGGGGAGGTGAAACAGAAACTCCCAAGAATCCCCGGTCTCGTGGTCGGTCACCCTTCTCCTCTAGCTATGGCTGCGGACTTCTCAGACCTCAGACAAGAGTGCACATTTGGGTGTGTGCACCAGAGACCCAAGGCCGTGGCACCGCGGGTGTGGCTGGGAGCCGACTCTGACTGGTTCCACGCAGTGTTCTGGATCATGACAGCCACAGCGATATCAATGTGGAATACTTGAATGAAAGTTGATGTTGGTGTGTGTGTGTGTGTGTGTGTGTGTGCGCGCGTCCGTGCGTGCGTGCATGTGTGTGTATGTGTGTGTAGTTAGGTGTTCTGAGGAAGCGTGAGCAGAGTGTGCACACCTGAGCGCAGAGGCTCAGAGCCCTTGGCGTGCCAGTAGGCGCGCAAGAGTGAATGAGATGCAGGGAACAGGGTTGGGCAGACTGGCTCTTTCCCCGGAGAAGCCAGCGTCTGACGGCTCCGCCTCGTGCAACAACTTGGGACTTTGTTCCGGCTTCTTCGAAAGCGGATCTAGCCGGGGGGGGGGGGGGGGGGGGGGGCACCTGCCCGGCGTGGGGTGCCGTGATATAAGTGCAGGAAAGCCCACCCCAGCCCCGCCTTCGCCCCGCCCCCACCCCGCCCCCGGGGGCGCTTTATAAGCTGGGTCCGAGGGCCCGCAAAGAAAGCGAATATCCCTCCTACCCCAGGCCGTGGTTTCTACACTCCGTGTCCTGGCCCTGAGTCCCTCTCCGCGCTCCCCAACCCGGCCCCCGCCCCGCCCCAGCCCGGCCCGGCCCCGCAGTCA